ACCACATATCCTCTCATGCATTAAATTTTGCGTCTTAAAAACTCTATTCCAACTTGGAATAGAGTTTTTAAGACGGGTGGATACCTTCGGGGGCAGTTGACGGGGACAGAAGATACCCAGGGACGCTCTTTGACGTCAACCAGCGCTGCCGCCTTTTCCTCCGTCAACGGATGCGGGATATCGAGGCAACTGTAAAGGGATTCGGAGCCTAGGGGTGATAAGTGCCCCGATCGGGCTGGGACGGGACGAGACGGACGCCGGCGGGAGGAACGGGAGGCGCTGGGCGTTGTCCTGGGGCCGTCAGGAGGGGGTGCTTACACAGGGAGGATTGTTGGAAGAAAGGATCTGCGGGGAAAGGAAAAGGGCCTTGTATGCGCCGGATGGCGGAATCGGCCAATCGGGGAATGCGGATGGCCGTGCGCTGTGCGCATTCGCTGGTATGCAGCTCGGGTACAGTACTCGTACAGTACAGAAGCCTGCAGCGTATGGTAGATATGCATGTGTCGAGGGAGGGCGCCAATCCGCCCGAGCCTTGCACCCCCGACCCACACGCTACGCAGCCCCGGTCCAACGCTCCTGCGACGTCGGTCCCCCTTCGCGACACCACCACCACGCACTCCGTTTCCTACCATAGACTTCCCCATCCCCTTCTACTTCACACACCCAATTCCCCGCAGTCCCCCCACCCCCCGTTGCACCTTCCATTCCCCCCCCCCTCTCTCGCAGCCTCATTGCACACGCCACCGCCTGTTATTCCTCTATCACATTATACGTGCCCCCCTGCGCTCCTGTTCAGTTTCACTGCGCCGCACTCCACTATCTTCAATCATCCTTCCAACTACCTGCTGCCGCCGCCGTCTTTCCGACACGTCCACCGCCGCTCTCTCTGCATTCTCTCATTCACCGTGTTCCTCCGCGAACGCACGCACAGACACACACACCCACACCCACCTGCTGATTCCCGTTGCGTGTGGATTGCGCTGTCTATTTTTCGTTTCGGAGCCCGTCCTGTTTTTTTTTTATATCTTTGCCTCCACCCTTCTTTTCCCTTTCTTTCTCTCTTTTCATTCGTCCTCGTCGCCTCACCTCATCCGGTTTTCAGGTCAACGGCGCAAAACCGAAAGGCAAGCACTTGCACCAACGACCGCCAACGATACCAACGTCACTCCGCTTTTCAAACTCGGTCGTGAGTTGTGCTTTTGCTCTTCTATTCGCGCTCCCCTGCGTAGCGTCTCCGTATACACTCATCCCCGTACCATCCTCGCAGCCACTCCCGGCGCCTGCTTCCGCCGTTCGGCTGCTGTATGGTTGCCGACGCCCACGTGCGGTGCGCTCACTCAGGGACAGCGTAGCGGTCTCCCTTTTGTCACACTCTTTTAATCCATGTCCGCTACCCACGCTGACTCGTCAGTGGCTCAGCACGTTGAGACAAGCCCCAACGGACGCTACATTCGTTACACTGACATCTTGGGAAGGGGTTCTTACAAGACCGTTTACAAGGCTTTTGACACTGAGGAGGCCCTCGAAGTCGCTTGGAACAAGCTTCATGTAGATCGTCTTTCCGCACATGATCTTGAGAAGGTCTCAAATGAAGTCTCTCTTTTACGCCAAGTCGATCACAAGAACATCATTCACTTTTACGACTTTTGGCCTGGGTCTGACGCGAATGGCAATCAAACTATCAATTTCATCACAGAGCAGATGATGTCGGGTACTCTTAAGGAATATCTCAGAAAAGCAAAGGCTATCAAGCTCAAAGTCATTCGCAGATGGTGCTCAAACATTCTTGCAGCAATCGCATATCTGCACAATCAGGAGCCACCCATCATGCATCGCGACCTGAAATGCGATAACATTTTTATCAACGGGCATGTGGGTGAGGTCAAGATTGGTGATCTTGGTCTTTCTGGTGTTAAGGAGCGTGAGAAAGCCGACTCGGTTATTGGAACCCCAGAATTCATGGCGCCTGAACTATACGAGGAATCCTACACTGAAAAGGTTGACATTTATGCCTTTGGAATGTGTCTTCTGGAAATTGTTACAATGGAGTACCCTTACTCTGAATGTAATAATATGGCACAGATTTTCAAAAAGGTTTTTAGCGGGGAGAAGCCTCACGCATTCAGCAGGTTGGTCGATGGGGACGTGAAAGAAGTCATCGCTGCGTGTCTTGAGAAAGAGGCAAGGAGACCGTCAGCCGACCAATTGCTGCAGCACCCTTTCTTCAGTGAATGGGAACAGGATGAAGGCAGCTGGAGCAATCTCTCTCTCGTGGAGGGCGTGCCAGACACCGCTGCTTCTGCTAGCCTGGAGGCAGCGCCGTCGTCCACCAACATGCCAATTGGTACGGAACTCATCGATTGGTCAGATCCGCTGAAGAGGAATGTGCTCGTCAGTATGATTGAGGGGGAGGGTGGAGGATCAGTCGATCAGCAAGTCTCAGTGGTGGCCTCAAGAGAGAATGGAGGGATCTACATTGGGCTCGAGATTCCTATCCGCGATGCGATTAAGAGGGTCGAGTTTACGTTTGATCCTTTTGCAGACAGCGCACAGCACATTGCGCAAGAAATGGTTTCGGAATTTAGTCTTGGGGTTGAGCAGCTCACCGTCATACGCGAGGAAATCGACAGACGCGTGAAGCACGCGAGGCTACAACGGGAAGCAGCATCTCGAAACGCCACACCGCAACCTCCGGCCCGCCAACTTCCTGAAGCCAGTTCCAGTGTGTCTATTGAGCTTCCGGAGGAGTCTCTACCCAGCCGATCGCGTCCTCACTCTCAATCCATTCAATCATCACTCCTGACATCTGGGCAATCGCAACCGGCAGATCTGGCGGAAGAAATGCGAGCACCCCAGGTTCCTAATGCACAGGAGCCAACTCAAAGGGATGTCGCAAATGAACCCCTCAGCATTGTTCGGACTCCCAATCCGAACGAAATGGATGCGCATTATGTATCAGATGGGGGCGAGACGGCTTCGACAGTAGCAGCATCTCAGCCGCGTACTGAACATAGTACGCCTGACATGCCAGAGGCGTTAATTGATCGCACAATGTCGCACCAGAGTCTCCCTCATACATCATCCTTTCAAAGTTCGCACGCGCACTCCACTACTCCGATTGAGACGCCACCTGGAATGCTGTCGCCAGACACTATGCAACAGGGTCATGCGGCGCCATCTGCTCCTCTCGTGACTGCACATGTATCTCATGCACAAGAGCCTGGAAATGGAGTTGCGCTACCGGATGTTCCTGGATCGCACCAGAAGGACCTTTTGCGTGCGAGCATTGAAGAAGAGACGCCTATCCATGTCCATCGCAGCAGCCCACGTTTCGAGAATGCCGCGGTCTCAAGCGCTCCAGTTCGGGTGACAGAAAAAGAACAGAACGAAGGACCTGACAACGATCAAATACAATTTGTGTTTCCCCAGAATATGGCTGTGCATCATACACACAGGCATCCAGATCCGCATACTGAGCATCATCCTCTAGGGCCGCTTTCGGGACCTGATGATCGTGATCAAGGACCAACGCATCATATTTCTCATTCCACCTCTGACACGCAACTACGTCCTCGGCCTACGGTTCCTGTGATTGAAACGTCGGGCAGACCAATATCAACACCCGTTCGTTCATCTTCAGCCGGAATAGACGGGCAGGCGGAGCGACAAAAGGAGGTGATGCCGGCGCAGACCCTAACTTTCCAAGGCCCAGAGACAGAACCAGTCAAAACTATGCAGCAGATGAGTCAGACTCAGTCTTCGACGGACGCTGGAAGGTTTGTCCCGCCGCGACAGGTAGAAGAGGGAAGAATTCACTCCTATCCCTCAAGCAACACCGGACTACCGCGGTCTTCATCAGGTGGTATCCCGCAAATTGTAGTAGTTCGCGGTTCGGATAAGAGTGGCGGTAAGAGCAGACCACGCCACGCAGGGAATGATTTTGCATCTCCAGCAGTAGCTGGGTTTGCTTCTGGGGAGGTTTTACCAATGACTGCTTTCTCCAGTTCACAGAACAGTGGAATGAGTAGAGGTTCCCCTGATCACGTGGCTGGGACTCATGGCGGGCATGGTAATGTGTCTTCAACTGGAACTCATCCTAAAGAACTTGTGCGGAGTAGCAGTTCCATGAGTCAACAAAGAAGTCCCGCAGGAAAGGCAGCAGCTCTGAGAAGCAATTCTTGGAAAAGTTCTCAATCCGATGACAGCGGGAATAATCTGGTTCCTCGAGTTCCGGCAGGTATGGTGATTGGCATCGAACACGATGAGCAATATTACTTGATGTGTCTTAGACTAATGGATCATTGTGCCAAAGGCCGCGTGCATGAAGTAGAAGAGAAGCTGGATGCCGGCGCAGATCCAAAGTTTTCGGATTACGATATGAGGACACCCTTGCATCTTGCTGCCGCGGAAGGCCAATTACAAGTTTGCTCATTGCTTCTTGATAAAGGAGCACTAGTTGGAGTACGGGACCGTTGGGGAAACACCCCTTTGGGAGATGCAGTGGAGAATGGTCATGCGGAAGTCCAGTCTTTGCTAAGAGATTATGGAGCGATTCATGATGACAGGGTGCACAATGTTGAGATGATTCAGTCGGCATTAATGCGCAGTGCGGCTGCGGGGACTGTGGAGGCCGTGCGCTCGGCAATCGTTGCTGGTGCAGAAGTCACCCTGTCTGATTACGACAGGCGCACCCCCCTCCACCTAGCCTGTTCTGAGGGTCACTATGAAGTGTCTGAACTTCTGCTCGTGAATGGAGCGTCATCGGAAGCTCGTGACAGGAAAGGTCGATCCCCAGTTGATGATGCTGTCAATAATGGGCATCGCCACGTGCTCCGGTTACTAAGACAGTACGGTGCGAATATCCCCCGACACTTGTTTGAAGCACAACCTGAACTCGAGAACCAAAGAGGCATGGACTTGGTAGAACATGCGGCGCGCGGCAGCGTGGATGCAGTCAGGAATGCCTTGGGTCAAGGTGCGAATCCCAATTTCGAAGATTACGACAGCCGGACTGCTCTTCATTTGGCGTGTGTAGAGGGACATTTAGAACTTGTCAAGGTGCTACTGCACGCTGGAGCTCTTCCCACAGCAAGAGACCGCTGGGGATCTACTCCAGCGGAAGAGGCTAGAAAGGCTGGGTATTCAGATGTTGTGGACGAGATTGCCATGTGGATATCAAAGAGGAAACATCGGCATGCATCAATTGTGTCGTTCGACGACTCGGTTATGAATGGCCACGACCGCACTGCAACGCCACCGGGAGAAAAGGACAGCGCACACTTTGACCAGCTCAGACATGGAATCGCATCGAGCGTATCTCTGGGTGCCATTCCATCGCTCAATCTATCTGCAGATGACTTCGCCGCCAGATATCCGCCGTCAAGTGCCCCTTCCAATGGGGATGAGGCGCATAGTTCTTGTGTGTCTTTGCCACAATCATCTTTTGATCGAACGAATGATTTCTCTGCTCCTGACACCTTGGATCATGATGAAAGACTGATTCGACAAACGTTTAATGCTAAGAGACAGCAGTTAGAGGAAGAACATCAGAAGGCAATAGAGGACCTTAAGAGAAAAAAAAACGGTGAAGAGAGCAGGAACCTTCGCAGCCCTTCCGAGGTGCCCGTTGTGTCTGTCATATCTTCTAGCCAGGACCCGAAAGGCACCAGTACTTCTCCGGAAAAGTTGCGGCGAATTGAAAAGAATGCGTCAAAGCCGCCCGTGGTAGTATCTTTCGGCCCTCTTCCGAACGGGACTGAAGAGTCAAAGAGGGCGGCTGCACGCTTGGCAAATGGGGGTCGAGATTGGGATCAAATGAAACTGGCGTCAGCTGTCGAGGAAAGAAACGCCCGTGCACTTCCTCACGATAGGATGAAGAGGGAGCTTCGGCCATCTCATGTGAATCCTGATATTCGCTCCATTGTAGATACATTGATTGATGCGGCATCCAACAAAGGATGATCAGGAGGCTAACATGTACAACAGGTGTTTAGTATAGTAGCAATAAGCCGAAAAAATGCACGTGCAACTGGGCTTCCTTGCAAAAAGAGTAGGAATGATAAACAGATTAGGAACCCGTTTTGTAACCTTGAGCTAAATACTTCAAGCGTCTTGGGCCCGCTCCCCGCCCCCCTCTATCCTACTTTGATCCACCTAGATTCCATACCTTTGTTGTTTGGTCGGTGGACCCAGTAAAAAATTGATTTCCGTGGCCGGCTAAACTCATAACCGGCCCTAGGTGACCTCCGTGTTCCGCCATTAGCTTCTTTGACTCCATATTGTACACCTTCAGTGTCCTGTCCGCGCATCCCACATACACACGCTCCTGATCAAATTTCAACGCATTCACCCGACAACCCACATCCACCACTGCGGTGCAGCTCGCTGTCCGAAGATCCCAAAATCGCAGATCATGATCTGTGCCTCCTGATATTAGATGGTTATCATCAAACTGCAAAGCGCGCACAGCACCGCCAGAATGACCCTGCAATGTGCGATGGCACCTCCCTGTCCGAATATCGAACATCCTGATTAGACTGTCACCACCACCTGAAGCAAGACCATGACGAACGAACTGCAAGCAATACACACCGCTCTCGTGACCTTGGATCACGGAACAATTGTCGCCGCTGGCATTCAAGTCCACACGCCTCAAAGTCTGGTCAAGCGAACCTGAAACTAAAACGTCCTCGTCGTCCAATTGCACGCAAGTCACACCCGCTTCATGCCCGCGCAGAGTTGCTCGACATGTGCCGCGTCCTCGTGCACCATTTAAATCCCAGACTTTGACTGTCTTATCCCCAGACCCAGACACGGCTGCATCGCCGGATTCTGCAAACGCGACCGCATGAACCCAGCCCTCGTGTCCGTATAAAGTGTCAAGCCTGCGCCCTGTGGACAAGTCCCACGTTCGCAGCGATCTGTCTGAGCTTGCGGTAATAAGCACATTGGTGTTCTCGCACACATCGACACCCAAGACGTTTCCCGTGTGTCCGTACAGGGTACGCTCGCAAGCAGCGCTCGGCCGTGGTCGCGGGCGGGACGCGGCGCCGCGCGACTGCACGGAATGCGAGTCGCCCTTGAGCCCGCGGACAGTAGCCTCGAAACGCTGCGATTCCGTCGAAATGTTGGCCACCTTCTCGTCAAGAGCGGCGATCTTCTCTCTGTTTTCTTCGTCCCGAAGACCCAGGGTGTCTAAGTTCTCCTCTAAGCGCCCCTTTTGTTGGAGCAACTCATTGAGCTGGAGCTCAAGCTGCCGCAACTGCGACACGACGGCAACGCGATCATTGAAAATAGAGGCGCTCTCCCTGACCAAAAAGTCCCGCTCATTCTTCATCTCCAAATACAGCCTCGCCACATTCTCCAGCGACACAAAGTGCGGCGAGGGGTTCGGCCCGTCCATGGCGATAGAAATGGGCCCGCTCTCCGGCGCAGATCTGACACGCACGGCGGCCTGCATGGCAACCCGCGTAGGTAGGGCGACGGCTGAGGAATTAGTGATACCTGATTCACTAGGCTCCTCCTCAACTGTGAACGAGCTTGGCATGGCCTGGCCGTTCGTCCTGTCGACGTGCGGAATTGGAGGTAAATCCCAGATGCTTGGCGGCTCGGAGGCGGGGCGGGTCGAGGGCGGGGAGGAAGGCGGTTCTTCTACAACGGCAGTGCGCAGCGTGGCATCTGCCATGTCGCGCAGCCCAACGCCGACAGCCAGACAGCTTAAATGCGGAGGGGGGAGATCGGGTCGCCCCGCGAGAAGGGAGCTGGTGTGCCTCGGGGGAGTGTGAGCAAGACGGGCGACCGCGTGAGTGTCATTGATCGGTCTTTTATCGTTGCAGGTTGCAAACCGGGAGAAGAGGCTGAGAAGCGTTACAAGAACGGAGGACACGGCGCGTGACATATGAAGGAAGTTTTTCGTTTGTTTTTGGTAATTTCTGGACTTCTGTCACGAACGCCGTGCTGAGAAAGGGATCTGATTGGGTGACGATGACATGATTTTAGGATCGCTTCAAGATGGATACTTGTGAGGTCACGGGAGTCTGACGCGGAGTCGCGATCGGTGAGTTTTCTTGTCCATGTCATCCAACGAGTGTGCCCGAGTCGACTCTGACGTCCATGTGCAGGGATGGCCTGGATCCTAGTCGAAATACAAACGAATTAGCAAAGAGCTGCGCTGTTTTGCTGGACTAAACATCTTGAAACGCTGTCGATGTCGAAAGAACATGTCAAGCAACACAGCTCATGAGTTTCTGGACAGAAGGATTTCGGTCCCAAGTCCAAGCTTCAGGGGACAATTCTTCTCACGTCTGCACTGTCGTACCAACTTACTTATGACTCAACTGAGTGCCAGACATGAGCATGTGATATGTTCGTTTTTCGAGAAGGCTCTCAAAATTTCTCTTTGCACTGAAACAGATTGGGCGAGTTGATTTCTGCAGAGAGGGCACTCTTCGCCTCTGTTTAACTGGTCCAATACCGTTCTGAAGCATCCCTCACGATTATCTACATTCTTTTATATCTGTTTCACAAGGTATTGAGACCCTAGACCGCCAGGTAGACTTGTTAAGCCGTCCTCTGGCAGAACAACTACAGTAAGAGGGGTTAGGCTTTTGAGAATACATAGATTCTTCGTGTTGCGTTCACGAGCACGTACGCATATCAATCAGACAAACAGTTATATTATTCTTGCTGAAGTTGGAGCCAAACCGTCGCCTTCTGACAAGGAATCTTCTCACGCCATCGAGAAAAATGGCTTGACGCATGGCCCCTGTTGTTCTTTTACCTCTGCCCATGTTTCACTGAGAGGACGAAAGTAAGCAATTAAACTGACGTCTTCATACTCCTAGTGCTTTATCTTCTTTGCCAGGCAGTGCGAATATGGTCCTCGATCCCAGATAAACTAGTGACACTCTCAGTATGCTCAAGAGACGAGTGCCAAAAACCTGACTCCCCTTCATCATAACAGACTGCGGCCATGGACGTTGTCCTGAAGGTCAATTACGTATCTTCAAAATTTTCTTATTATTTTACACTTCCCTGTGTATGATTCGGTCGCCACCGAGTAACTCCGCAGAGAAATCGGATCACCATTCCGCACACATCGACGACCTTCTTCGCAATCTGCCGTTCTTAGCACGACATTGCCACCCGCAGTACGCGCTTGAAGATTCAAAGATGCAGCGTCACATAGCATCTCGTGCGTATCGGCTTCTGCCTCGAAATGCGCAATTCATGCGTCAGCTCTGCGCCGAGGCGGCCCCTACCTCATCGGCGTCAGACGCAATAGGAATACCTCCAGCCGACGGAGCCGCCACGGCAGAATCGCCTCGAGTGCAGGCGATTTTGGATGAGCTGGTTCAATTGAATATGCTGGAAGTTAAGCAGCTTACTGACGGGCTTAAGGACCGACTGGGAATTGATGACTCAATGACCATGCCAATGAACCCGGCGATGTTTGCTGGTATGGTCCCGGGCGCGGGTGCTCCCGCAGAAGCAGCAGAGCCAGTCGTAGAGAAATCGGCGTTCGATCTAAAACTGGAGAAGTTCGATGCAGCGAAGAAAATCGCTGTAATCAAAGAAATCCGATCAATCACTGGGTTGGGGCTCAAGGAGGCAAAGGCTATGGTGGAGGAGGCGCCCAAGGTATTCAAATCTGAAGTCGCGAAGGAAGAGGCGGAGCAAATTCGTGACAAGCTTAAGGAGATTGGTGCGGAGGTTAAGCTTGAGTAGGGGTTTTGGTAAAGACGCTACACGCTGCGTGGATCTGATGTCCATCGTAGTTGCTTGTAAACAACTTTGCGAATGATGAACTGACTATCGATACTCAAAGATAACGCTTTAATGATCTTTCGGAATAAACACAGACAGAGTCCGTCATAGTCCGTTGCGCTTCGCAGAAAATTCGCGCAATGAAACCCATCCGTAAGCGCTTGACGAGCGCTTGGGAACGCCAGTGAGTCCAACTCGAGAGCAACGCACGCATCTCAATAGTCTTGCGAAGCAAAGACACGAAAACGCCAACATTCCCCTAACTTGGCGACAATGCACTTCCGATAACTGCCGTCGCGATCACTTCAATACCTGTCTTCGCGAGAGAGGCGTTCGTGGGTATTATTCCCCCACGTGTAGACAGTTGCGAAGAGGATGATAGCCGGCGCGGCGTCACGCACGAAAGAAAGCTTGCGCCAGAGCTTGGTCATCCTCAGTCGAGCGTCGAAGACATCGCCGAAGAGCTTCTGCTCGTAGGGAGACGTGAAGTACTCAATTTGCCCGCGAATGCGCGGTGGTACTTTGGGCGCCATACGGAAGGGCGGGTAGCGCTGCAGAGGGAGAGAGGCGGAAGAGGCGGGGATCGGGGTGGTGCTGACGATGAGAAGCCAGAAGAAGCAATGCCAGCCAGATGTTGATGACCCTGTTGCGAAGCAAAGACAAAATTCTGTGAAGATGCAAAATTTTCGACTATTTATGAAAATAGCATCTGTGATGGGTCTGAGGATGCCTTTTCTGTAAAATTCAGTATTTTCAATTTTCAACCAAGGTTGAAGATTGCCTGACATGTACATATCTGCACCCTGCAAGCTCTTAAGGAGGGTTCTACATATGTTCGCACTGCGCACATGTGGATAGATGGCCGGAAGGAGGTACGTTGTAGACGATGTTTTGGTGTGAGTATAGAACGACGTAAGGTGCTCACTGCAAACCACCTCACTGCAAGTTTCCCCTAGAGAGCACGACTTTCTCGTTCCAGCTTCTAAACACGATCCGGTCGAGAATGGCTCATCACAGCTGTTGCAACATCCGGCGCGTACCTAGCATCTACTTGGCTAACTTGCAGAGGTATTACATGACAGCCTAGGAGCCCTGCTCCTGACCATTTCCGCGGTGATAAGCTCAACGTCAAGCTTTGGACAGCGTCGTCTTCTCCTCGGTCAATCACCACGTCCACAGCCCTATTTTCGTGCTCGCGCAAAAGACCAGGCAGCGCTTGCATGGCATGCTGAGGGGTAGGGAATCTGCGCAGCGAAATGGCTCCGAACGAAATGATCTTGTCGTTCACTTCAACACCAGCCGTCGCTGCGGGGGAATTCTCAGTGACTACATCCACGAGTGCAAACGCTGAGTGTCGGGGAAAGGCAGATGCAGTGTTAGGGGGTTGGATTGGTTCACTACGAACCGAGCTAGAGCCGGCTGTAGCTACGTCGCTTGGTGCGGCAGTGCTAGAAGCCGCCGAAGGAGGTTCGCTTGGTCCATTTTCTCCTGTTTTATCTGCGAGAGGTGCCAGCGCCATGTAAAGGTACTTCTCGATCTCGGCAGTTATCTTTTCGTGATCCGTTCTCAATGTAGCATAGCGGTTTCTCTGATTGCGCACCCCGTGCACGTCTATATCAGAGCGTGGGAACCCCTGAGCGTCTAACAAATTCCCGTTCATTCCAGGGCCTCCATTAGCCTTCAAGTAGTAGACGAGGCATTGTAATAATGCGGTATAGAGAGGGAAGAGGCAAAGAAATTCGGCGAGATTCGTCAGTTTGCAACTGGAGGAACGGAACACGATGTGAAAGGTTTTCTAACGTGAATTTGATACTGCGTACAGTCAGTTCTGATACAATCTTCGCCATCTCAACCTCCATGGCTTCCTTTTTCTTGTCGAGGTCAAGCGCCCGCTGTCTTGGAGATAATTCCCGTTGGTACCCCATCTCCACGGCCTTGTAGAGACTAACCTCACTTGAAGAAGTGTCTTACGAATTCGTGACGATGGGCCTCGAGCAGTTCCTCTGGGAATTGAACAATTACCACGAAGGACCTTGACGTACAAAGCCCTTGTCTGGGTCGTGACGGATTTAGCAAAAGCTGTCTCAACAGCTGCGAAAGCGACAGGCTCTAATTTATGTTTATTAGATACAGTTGTATGGGTTGATAAATCTCTATGCCATCATTCGCCTTCCACTCGAAAAAGAATCCTCAAAAAAAATTGGGGTTTGATCTATGGCCACAAAACCACGTGTACCCGCAAGTCCACATGGACTTCCTACAGTAAAATTGCTGTCCACATGCATCACCACGATAGCTCATGAGGGAGTGTGTATTGGCTTCACTATTTGAATCGCACAATAAGGGGGTTCCGCAAATACTGTACAATGTGACTTCGGTTGCAGCGTCGGAATCTACAGTCTCTTGTAGAGCGATGCAAAGAAATGCTGTAAAAGACCCAACAAAACAGATGTTGGCAATGTTTAAACGCTGCCCGACATGAAATGTTGATAAATTAATTGACAAACATTGCTGCCTGTGCAGATGATGCATGCATGTGTGTGTGATAGAACACAGCAACTAAGAAATGAACTAAATTAGCACCAGACCGGAAAACAAAGAATGGCACGTATTCCCTTGAACAGAGGTTGAAACGTGAATAATTGTTTGCGCCGTGCGGAAAGGCATGGTTTATGTAAAGTTACTCCGGGAATTGCGTGCAGCTTTGTCGAATAACGTGAGGGTCGGTGCTAGTGGGTGGGAAGGCTGAAAGGGGTCCGCGAGAAAAAATTTGCTACACGTATTACTCACGTGAAGTTGTGAGTTCAAATCCTCATACATGGTAGAATTTATGGGGTACTTCTTTTCTTTCCTTGGATACTGTGCAGTTGCCGCACATAGACAGCCGGTCTAGCCTAGGTGGTCAGCGACAGCGATTAATCGACCGTAAATGAATCAAGTTTCAGAGAAGAGAAGAGAAGAGGAAACCACTGGATGTGAAAACTGCAGTCTTGCGGTTGAAGTTGCTCAATTTTAAGAGTATGTGGAGTAAAGAGAAGTGTGTTGTTGAGATCCTGGCGCAAATGCCAGTCAAAGGAGGACAACCGTGATGATTTCTTTACACATGCCGCAGAATATCTTCTTTTTGAGAGGTAGAATATTTCCCTTATGATGGTGGCCCAATAAACGCACGGAAGTTTCAACTAGCGTACGTAGGAGATACGCATCCTATCTTTGGACAAGTTCGTCAAAATCCTGTTTTACAACGGCCCTCTGAAGGCCCGGCATCAAACGACTTGAAACTTGCGAACTGTGAAACTGCAGTTGGCGTTAAACAAATCATCAGGTAGATTTCTATATTGCCTTTTTACAACTGACTGTAGACGTCGTGGTCATCAACGAGCAAGCAAGTCTGGGCTGCTGTACCTTCGAGAAATCGAAGTCACAACAGCGCCGAAGAAATGGGGAGGTCAAACACGTACGGAAGATGAACCTTGAGGGAGGGTCTTAACTTGCCCGGGTTTGCTTTGCTTGCCCGAGTTTGCCGGTCATTTATTAATTTATTAATGTAAGTACACGCCTTCCCCTTACGTTAGTAGTGGACAGGTGTCCCAGAGCGACGGTGCTGACTTACAGAGGCATACAACGCCATAAATTGCCAGAACGCAACGGGGAGGACACTGTGGGTTCTACAAATTCGCTCCGAGGACGCATCGACAGGGACGTGACATGCTGCAGCGTCAAACAACTTCTCCCCAGGGACGCGTCGACATGGACGCGAGACGCTGCAGCGTCGCTCGCTTCCGACCCAGAACGTGGCCATTGCGGGTGATCCCAGATCACCGGGATAAATAATTGATCTCACCCCCTACTTCTCTCCTTACTACTCCGCGGGATAGCGTATCTATCGCCGGCGCTGTTTGGTCAAAAAACGGATCTACAACCACTGCCCAGTATCGCCGTTCGCCTCCCCTCCTTTCTTCTCAATCTAATCACTCCTACGCAATGCACGGCAATAGAATCATCACTGCTACGACCGCACTAACCGCAACCGCAGCTCTATTCTCCCTCCTTTCATTGCACCAAGCTATTTCAAACTATCCTCGACCCCGAAAATTCACAAAGCCCTTAGATCTCGGACGGGGATGGACTTTTGTCAGAGCCAACAGGATTTTTAACGACAAAGAATTCAGTCGTACATACCGTATGGAGGGGGGGATAATATTTGGTCAGAAACGTCCGCTGCAGACGAGGAAGCAATAGTGAGAGACTTTGCGTTGGTGGCCCCCGTCTTCCGAATGGTGGGAGTCAGAGAGATGCGCCAGAAGCGCGGAGAACGGCGCACGTGGCATAGAGGTGTGGAAGCCATTTTCAGGAAAGTAGTCGGCAGAGAGGTGCTTCGTAGAGTTGGGTTGCCTTTGCGAGATGGCAGGTGCATAGATTTTTGCAAAGGGGGAGTTGAGGATGTTTTCGGCAAGGGGCAAGCACTGCGTCCACCGGAGCACAGCGTCCAAATTCGAAAGTTACAAACTTACAAAAGTAGCCAATATATGATTGACATTTGTCATTACACACTGACATAACTTGAGCTTGCAGTGTAGGGTCGTACTTAGTTTCAAATCATATATTAACGCCCAGTAGCCAATAGTAGTGCAAATCATGGCTCGGGGCAAGCAAACCCGGGCAAACTCGGGCAAGTTAAGACCCTCCCTGACATCTAGCTGTGATTGGCTACAAAAAGACTGCTCGAGGCTTTGACGGGTTCTGGACCCTTCTTAAATCGCCTCTGTGCCCCAAAGAAAATTTGCACGAATCCTACCACTGTGCTCCCAGCATGAATTTCGATTAATCAAGGGCTATTACTCGTCGCCAGCAACGCGGTCATCCCTCCAGCGACTGATTCCGCCTTCCAGCAATTAGACAGCTGTCCCCAGGTGCTCCGTCCGTTCGAGCCGCTATTCCACCAGCTCTTCAACTCTATAACTCTGCTCCTTCCCCCTTTCACCACTACCGCCTTCCACATTGATTCCCCGCGATTCATAATCGCACTCCTTCATCCGCTTGTGTCACTGCCGCGTTACATTTCCTATCTGTGCCCTGTACGCCTACCTGATTTCCTCCTCCCTCCCTCTCCTCCGTGTTGTCTAACTTAAGCAGCATTTCTCACCATGCCGAACGATGGAGCCGGGCCGTCAAGCGCCCCCAAGGCGGAGGACAAGAAGCCAAAGACTGACTTTTCGACCGCGATCATGGACAAGAAAAAGGCTCCCAACCGCCTGCTCGTCGATGACGCCACTAACGATGACAACAGCGTCGTCGCGCTTTCGCCAGCCAAAATGGAGGAACTGGGTCTCTTCCGCGGGGACACAGTGCTGCTGAAGGGGAAGAAGCGCAAGGACACTGTTTGCATTGTACTTGCAGATGATGATTGTGACGACGTCAAGATTCGCTGCAACCGTGTAGTGAGGAACAATCTGCGTGTGAGACTGGGAGATGTGATTTCAGTTTCTGCTTGCCCGTCGATTCAGTACGGCAAAAGAATTCATGTCCTACCGTTTTCTGAGGATCTAGAAGGGCTCGCAGCAGACTCTGATTTGTTTGGAGTATATCTGCGACCGTACTTTTTGGAGGCTTATCGCCCGGTGCGGAAAGGAGATACCTTCGTGATTCGAGCTGCTATGCGCGCGGTGGAGTTTAAGGTTGTGGAGACGGATCCTGAAGAGTTTTGTATTGTGGCTCCGGACACTGTGATCCACTGTGAGGGTGAGCCGCTCATCCGGGAGGATGAGGAGAAGGCCGACGATGTCGGGTACGATGACATTGGGGGGTGCCGGAAGCAGCTCGCACAGATCCGTGAGCTTGTGGAGCTTCCGTTGCGTCATCCGCAGTTGTTCAAAAGCGTGGGCGTGAAGCCGCCGCGTGGAGTGCTGATGTATGGGCCGCCAGGTTCAGGAAAGACGCTAATTGCTCGTGCGGTGGCGAATGAGACAGGCGCATTTTTCTTCTTGATCAACGGGCCGGAGATCATGTCGAAGCTTGCTGGTGAGTCCGAGTCGAACCTCCGCAAGGCGTTTGAGGAGGCGGAAAAGAACTCGCCTGCCATTATCTTTATTGATGAGATCGATTCAATTGCGCCGAAGCGTGAGAAGACGAATGGAGAGGTAGAGCGGCGTATTGTGTCGCAGCTGCTGACGCTGATGGATGGGTTGAAGTCTCGCGCGCATGTAGTCGTCATTGCGGCAACGAACCGGCCGAATTCGATCGACCCTGCTCTTCGTCGCTTTGGTCGGTTCGACCGGGAATTGGACATTGGAGTACCGGACGAGACTGGTCGGCTTGAGATCTTGAGGATTCACACGAAGAACATGAAACTGGACGATAGCGTGGATCTTGAATCAATTGCGTCTGAGACTCACGGGTTTGTTGGAGCTGATTTGGCGCAGCTTTGCACGGAGGCGGCGCTGCAGTGCATCCGCGAGAAGATGGATGTGATCGATCTTGATGACGATACGATTGAGGCTGAGGTGTTGGACTCCTTGGCTGTGACACAGGCTCACTTCAAGTTTGCTTTGGGAACGTCGAACCCGAGTGCCCTTCGGGAGACGGCTGTGGAAGTGCCGAATGTGACGTGGGACGATATCGGTGGACTGACGAAGGTGAAGCAGGAATTGCAGGAGACTGTCCAGTACCCTGTGGAGCATCCGGAGATGTTCGAGAAATACGGGATGTCACCGTCCAAGGGAGTGCTGTTCTATGGGCCGCCGGGAAGTGGAAAGACGCTGCTCGCGAAGGCGATTGCAAACGAGTGCCAGGCGAACTTCATCAGTGTCAAGGGGCCGGAGCTGTTGACGATGTGGTTCGGAGAATCTGAATCGAATGTACGAGAGCTATTTGACAAGGCACGCCAGTCTGCGCCGTGTGTTTTGTTCTTCGACGAACTGGACTCGATTGCGCGCGCTCGCGGGTCATCTGCCGGTGACGCAGGAGGAGCTGGTGACCGTGTGATCAACCAGATTCTGACCGAGATTGACGGAGTTGGGGTGAAGAAGAATGTGTTCGTCATTGGAGCGACGAACAGGCCTGACATTTTGGACCCTGCCATCATGCGACCTGGGCGTCTTGACCAACTGGTGTACATTCCGTTGCCGGATGAGGAGTCACGCGTGCAGATCTTCAAGGCTGCGCTGAAGAAGTCTCCGATTGCCGAGGATGTATCCTTGACAGAGTTGGCGAAGGCACTTGAAGGATACTCCGGAGCAGATATCACTGAAATTTGCCAGCGGGCGTGCAAGTTTGCTATTCGTGAGGCCATTGCGAAGGAGCAAGAGGCCGAGAAGCGTCGCCTGGAGAACCCGGAAGCAATGGACGAAGAGGAGGAGGACCCTGTTCCGTACATCACACGTGTCCACTTTGAAGAAGCAATGCAGTATGCGCGACGGTCTGTGACGGATGCTGACGTGCGTAAGTACGAGATGTTTGCGCAGAAGCTGCAGACTACGCGTGGCTTTGGAAACGAGTTCAAGTTCGGCGACTCTGCCGCGGCAGGTGGTCCGGCTGGAGGTGGACCGGCTGGCGGAGATGCAGGATTGGCCGATGCGGATGGTGATGAGGACTTGTATTCCTGATTTTTCTCTCCCACTACCGCCGTTGTAATATGCTGGAGCACGTCTCTCATCTACTTGAGATTTCATGTAAAGAGACATTGATTGATTGTCTGCAAGAGTGAATGTAGTTATAGTCTTCGAGCGCATAGGGGGAAGACATGTCTCTGCCGTCTGTGCAGTGAATGCGGTAAATAACATTGTCACATGCTCAGCTTCTAGAATGTGGGAGCACAGAGCGAGGAAGTGAGCAGAATCAAGCTTCCGCCTGGAGTAATGAATGCGCTTGTCAGTGAAGTGCCTTTTCACGCACCATTCCGACGCAGTTCTGGCAAGAGTCGAACATCGCCGTGTTTGCCTTCATCACGTTCGCACCTCTATTGGCAGAGCTCTGAAGTTTCTTTGTGAGATGAAAGCCTGTGGTGTCATGGTAGCGTTGGAGAAGACGAGACGAATCTCCACTTCGCCTGAATGTCCGGGAATCGTGGTACTGTAAGCCCCTGGGGTATCGCCAAGTTTGAACCTTCGCAATGGTGAGCATTGCGTTGGGTTGACTTAGGCTGATTCACTGAACTCTACAATACATGTAACTTTAGTGTGTGGGAGCGCGTAGAAATGAGAGTATCTCTCATAATGATAACTTAAGATCAACTGCAGAAGCGAACACAAAAAATAAACCGGACTTTTGCGAATCGACAGGATGGCAGAGAGAAGCTCCCTTCTATATATGGTCTGACTGAGTTCAGCGTCCCGTCTAGCGTCCGATCTCTACGACTTAACTTCAAGAGAGCAGTGGCGACCCTCCAAAGGTCTGAAAACCGTCTAGGACTGCGATTACTCTAGCCTGACTAGACCTGACGCCGCGTCAACTCAGCCGATCAAGCCGCCGTTGAACTTCTTCCGCGTATCCTACATTGAGATACTTTCGGCACATGGCCTCCATCGTGCGGTCTTCATCAGAACCGTTCAAATCGTCCTCACTGCTCTCAAGCAAATCGCCAGTTGCCACTGTATCATCTTCTATTATCAATGTTTCCTGCGGGGACGTTACTTCATCTTCATCCTCTTCTTCGTCTGCTCCTGCAGAGGACAGGGTTCTCGTCACTTCATCAACACGCTCTTCTAGCTCAAAATCAAGATCAACCTCTGGAGTCCTGCCTGCGCTCTCTATTTGTTTCCCATGACTTCGCCTTATATGCCTTATATCTCTGTCTGAGGCTCTCGGCCTACGCTGGGGTTTTGATACATCCGGCCCTGCTCTTCTTGTCCGTGTCTGTTGTCTGCTGCGTCCTTCCCTCATAAAACGCCCGATGTAGCGGCCCGCGACTTCCCTAACTTCTGCAACATAATTTTCCACACCTGTGCGGCCGCAAAGTACTCTCATCCAGCCTTGTCTACTCCACGCCGCACCATTCTCGTCAAAATGCAGCACTGTGATCTCTCCGGCCACCCACGAACACAATTCCCTCCTCCCGAGCTTCTTGTTTCTCTTCTTTGCCCTTATATCCGCAAGCCCCGTCAACGCCTTCCATATCTCCGCATGACCACCACCTAGCGTCCATACACCCTCGTCAGCCTTTCCTTCATCGGTCAACACTACTTCAAACGCCCTTCCCCTCTTTCGCAATAATCCAGCCGTTTCGCCCTGGCGTAATGAGGATCCGCCAGTCAACACAATTCCGAGTGCAGTCTGGGCGAGCTGTCGTCCGTCGCGTGCGTCGAATGCCCTGGCATCATCGAGGGAGAAAACGAACGTCCGTATGCGGGTTTGAAATGTGACGACAGGGTTGCCGTCTGGCAACGACGCAAAAGAAGAGAGTGGAAGCGAGAGCGCGTTCCAACGACGCGGGTGCACGTATGGCGACGGCCCCGCCGTCAGGATGATAGGAGCCTCCGCAAGCTGCACAGTAGCATCCGGTAAGGACAGGGCGGAGATGCTTAGCGTGGGTGATGTTGCACGATTAGACGGCTCTTCGACGGCGTGAAGGTTAGCAATATGCTCGGAGGGTGAAGTGGCGCAGAGCATGAGGGTGCGAATTTGCCCCATTACATTGCGGGAGATGTGCAGCTCGGGGAAGTGCGTCCCGCCTTCCGACCCACGCGAGGTCCCCGACCCGGAAGCCGTGGCGGAGGGTGCCGGCATAGCGGGGGTGGGTTTTGAGAGACGGAGTAAGGAGTACGGTACGGTGAAAGGAGACATGATGCACTTTGGTTGCAGCAATGCTACGTTTCGCAGAATTTCGGATGCAGGATTTCGGATGCCTTTTTCCCGCGAAAATGAAGAATGGCTAACTCGTATTCGTCAACCATCGAGGCATTGCGCAATTTCGAGCAGTTCAGATGTCGCGGCGGCTTTTCGATTTTCACCACTTGCTCTTTGTCACCCAAAAGGAGCTTTGGACTGCAATCCACCCCGTACCTGCAGGACTGTCTTCTATGAAGAGGTCGGAGACAACAACAAGCGACGTGGTGTCAAAACATTGAAAGCTTCGTCAACATCGAAATCATGGAAGCGATTCATGAAATGCGAGTGTACTGCAGGTCAGTAACGTGCGCTCCGGCTACTGCGAAGCTAACCCTGCACTTCTCCGTTGATAAGAGCCATCGTGTTTTGAAGTATACTGCTAACTCGCAAAAATATGGAGTTGCTTCCGTCCCCACTCACACGTAAAAGTGCTCCTGAAGTGGTGGAAAGCCTACTTCACTGTCATCTTGACGATGTCAAGAAACGATGTGAAGATGTCATAAGTGAGTAACGAAGTTAGCGGGGAAGGAGCCCGCCATGCCTTGCATGATGGTATAACCTTCCGAGGAGGAGCGAGTGACCGCTATCCGCACTCCGGAGAGAATTTTTCAATTTTCCGTAGAAATTTTGTGCCCTGCGTATGGTACGCGAGAGGGTTATGAGAAACGCTCAACGTCCACTTCCGACCACAACATCCACGTTTACCGAAGCCCGTGGCCTTCTGCATCCTAGCCGATCCCATCTTTTACTCTACAATTTCCATTCCGTAGCAGTCAAAGCGAAGCAGGGGTCAAGCTTCGCGCACGGGTGGAAAGACAGAGAAAATGCCGCGGGTTTGACAAGGGTCGTTGCATTTCTTCGGTCGATGACCATAGCTACTTGTTTCGCGTATCCTCTCCTCTCGTACGGCAGACTATATCCGTACAGGTTTTCGAGGACCCAACGTTCTGGGTCTCAGTGCGATGCGCTCGGATTCTGCACCAGGGCTCTCTCAGAGTATTTTTGAGGATCTCGCTGACGCCGCCGCCAAATCGAAACGTCTTATCACTCGCTTGTACGAGTCTCCGCATGCAGTCCAATGCGTTTTTCGTGCGTTGCCGCCCATCGCACGTCTGTACGTGGCACGAATTATCTACCTGCCGTCGAATCAGGAGGTTAGTGTCGATAGTTTCCGACAATGCCTGCGCCGCCGCCAGCGCGCTTACGATCGTCACGACAGTGCGATTCTTGCTCTCAAAGCGCTTCACGTGCTTGTAGAAGTGGAAACCCTTGTCGATGGACCGGGCCGCAAGGAAACACGATTGCAGCTTAATGATAAGTTCGCTGAAAATCTGCGGAGATCTGTAACCTATGGCGTCGAACCAGTCTTCGGCGGTCCATGCGAGGACATTGAGATGGTTGACGTCGAAAGTCGGGAGGTGGTCACGAAGAAAATGGACGAGTTCTCCGCGGCAAAGCTTGACCGGATTCTGAACTTTCTCGTAGAATCGAACGGTTCCAACGCTCCGGGTGGGACTGTTGTCCAAGCGCTTGCGCAGGTTGGGATCCTGGAATCCAAATCGATTGGACTGTGTATCACGAGCTCTGGATTTCAGTTTCTTTTGAAGGACTCGTTCGCTCAGTTGTGGGTGCTACTGCGAAGTATCGTGAATACGCAGTTTCGAGGTGAGGAGCTGGATGCTTGGGAGCTAATTTTCAAACTGTCCTTTGCGTGCCCTGGGAAAGAATATCGCGATCCACATCTCTCCAAATGTCAGCGAGAATTAATGGCAGAGCTGCACGAGCTAGGTATTGTAAGGCTTGGAGAAGATGCCACTTTCCGTCCCACCACAGTTGGTGTTCGTCTACTAACCTCGGCCAGTCGGATTCAGTCAGGACCAGCGTCAACAGCAGACGCATCGTCGATGGTGAAAATCGCAGGAGAGATTGAGATCTTCGTTGAAACAAACTTTCGCGTCTACGCGTATACCACTTCAAATTTTCAGACTAATTTGCTTGCCCTCTTCACGCATATGCGGTACAAACTGCCCAGCATGGTAGTAGGACACCTAACTAGAGACGCAGTGCGAAGAGCTCTGATGAGTGGGATCACTGGGGATCAAATTATTGGCTATTTAAACGCTCACGCCCACCCAAGGATGAAAAGAGGAGTGATTCCTTCGAATGTGAGTGACGAAATTAGATTGTGGGAAGCTGAACAGGATCGAGTCCAGACAACTCCTGGAGTACTTCTAAGTGACTTTGAAAGTCAAGAAGCATTTGAAAAAGTAATGTCGTACGCTTACGACTTAGGAGCCAGCGTCTGGAGTGACCGGGACCGATTAAAGGTAATAGTAGCTAGAGAAGCATATGGGTCTGTGAGAGGCTTCATGAATTCCAATGATTTGCATTAAAGGAGCAAATCATCTCGAGTGTCCCGAAATACTTTCGATTGCTTTTCCAGAAATTATAACAGCATAAAGAGTAACATCCACCTTCACCCCCAACTCTTTCATTTTCTGCACGACGCAGTACAAAATCAATCTATTGAAAGCTCCTGGGCCTGGTCAAAAGACAGACCCCTTGTAAAGAAGCAAAAGGTGAAAAAGGGTAGCCACTTTTTCACTGACGTGGCAGTTGATTCCGCATGAGTTGCCATCTTCAATGGTATTTATCTTTAGTCACCTGAACGGAAAAACTGGAAATAGATTTGAAATCTTTCGAGCATGCCTCCTCGTGATTGTGTTCAAAACGTTTTCCACATTTGCTCAAATGATGATTGTGTGTTTATCAAAACTAACGAGTGTCGATGTTTTTTGTGGCAAATAGGTGTCTATCGGTTTATACCGAAGATACCTTATCTGGCTCTGATGTTCGACACCGCCAAATCTATAACGTCAGAACGCGTTGTCGCTCGTCTTGTCTGAGCGTAGCGAAGTACAGTAAAGCTTTACTGTAGCGTGTTGCGAAGTAACCTGTTCCAACGTAACGTGGAGAGACGATATCAGAACGATTTTCAGAAATTCAGGCTTCTAAAAAATTTTCGGGGATTGCTTTTTGATTTGTGCTCATCGCAGGCCTTACGATGCCCGCCCAGCGCTCAACTAGGACCCGTGTCACTCTTCGGAAAGAAAACGCAGGTGTGCGAGACCTTTTGTGCCCTCCGCTCGGCACATGCAACTCCGGGAGTAGGCATGCGCGGCTGAGAAGAAGATATTCTACCGCTTGACCCTCGACACTGAGGCAGGCCACCTTGATGCTTGCTGATGTTACGACGGGTAGTCTCGACAAGCGCGAGAGAGCCGAAGGACATAATTCGAGAGCTGAAACGACACGTGCACCGGCTGTACAAACACATCCATCCCGATCGTCTTGGACAATTTCCGCAACATAGAAAGGTCAACGAGGCTTCGTTCCAGGTCCTACAGTCTGCTATTGAGCGGCATTTCGATCGCGTCGAAGCGAGGACAAGAAATATCCCACCCCAGGCTTTCCAACCGCCAAAAGAACTGACTTTCTTCGCGAAAGCAAAGCCAAAGTCTTCGAAAGGGAAGCACGAACAAAACGTCAACGATTATGGACTCCACAAGGCGGTGGTCCCATTCCACGAGACTAATCTGGGACATGCATTGCATAGCCTGTTCGAATCGTTAGGTCTTGAGCCACCCCCGCAAAATATTTTGCCAGGCCGCAGACCTGGTCCATTGGGGCAAGAAGGGCAACGATTCTCCTCTCTGACTGAGCTCATACGGCATGCTCGACGTGTTATCATGTCCAACGTCCAGAGACAGCAGACCGGGAATCCCCGCACGGCAGAATCAGACCTTGACGATGAGATGCTTGTCACACGACTAGCATTGCAGAGGTCGCGTGGACTTTACGTGACGCTCGGAGCCGGGTTACCACCAAAGGCAAAGCTTGTGGTGATATTTCGACGGCTAGCACGAACATTATCTGAAGTGAGGACAAAGTACCTGTCCAATCTAGTTGTCGAGATGGATGGAGGATTTGACGTCACTCTGAATACTGAGGGCGCGTATCCATGGATGCAGCTTGGAGCGTGCGCGTCAACAGAGACGTGGCGAGATAGCTTGTCCTCCTCCGAGGTAGTCGCGGCTTGTCAGAAAAGCAACAAGCACATGACTAGGCTACGAGAGCTGGAGGCCAGGGTAGCGATTAAGTTAGGGATCAAACTTGTGATGCACAACATTAATGTACTGGGGATTGAGAATGATGAAACGAAGGGGGAAGCGGGTAGGGAAGATAGTAATCATGAACGGATGGAAAGGATGCTACGGGCAAGTGCAGCACTCGACTCATACGAGCAGCTACTACTGAGTCTGATTAGCAGCGAGGTGGAATCAAGACAGGTCCGCGAACAGGTATCCGTGGCTCTGATGATCGACGAGAGTGACGGGGTGCAATGCGAGGCGGAGCAAGGGGTAATCCGAGTTGGGCTTTCGACAGGGGCAGATGCAGTGCTATCGGCGCTGTCTTCACATGGAAGAGGAGTGCATGAAAGGTTCGAACAAGTGCGGTGCGAGCGGGTAGCGGAGGAGAAGCGCGTGGCGAACGTCAAGCGGGCGGTAGGAATCAACAGCCTGCGGCGGGCGGAGTCGGTGAGCACGCGGGAATGGGGCGAAGCGCTCGCGCACATGAGGGCGGACGCGGGGCGGCTGCGCGGCGTGCTCGACGGGGTGCCTGTAGTAATCGGGACGCAGGCACGGGTAATTGTGGAGAGCGGTGAGGTCGAAGTGCCGCATGACTTTTACAGGACAATACGGGTGTAGCACTCCGGGGATCGGAACGGGGTAAGTTACCGTAATAGATATACAGTCTGTACATTGCTTAGTAGTGGGAAAATAAACATGGCGACGCGTCGAGACGCATTAGTACATGGCGACGTGGCGGGCGGAGATGGCGAACTCGAACTGCGCGTGATGTCTCCACTCGGCGAGCTGCAATTCGTCGGAGGAGACGTGCAGGTCATCCATGGAGATTTCCGGCGGTTCCTCGTCTGCGACGGCGTCGCTCTCGGACGCGTAACCCGTTCGTGGCGGGGGCTCGATTCTGGCGACGGGCTTCCGCGGCTCCTTCTCGTTGGTGACGGCGTGGGCAGTGGCGACGGCGGACGCGACGAGCTGGCGCGCGATGGCGGTCGAGGCCACGGCGGCGGAGACGTGCGGCGGGCGCGGCGGGGGGCTCTTGCGCTTGGTGGCCTTCTTGAGGCGCTTGAGAAGCGCGGTGGAGTACGAGGACGGTGGGCGCGGCGCGGCCGGCGAGTAGCGCGGCGCGGCGGCGTGCGGCACGAGCGGGCCTTCCATGCGGGATTGGCGGGCGGAGGGGTGCGGAGGGGTGCGGGGCGCGGGGAGGGCAGTGGGGACGCGGGGAAGGCGTGCGGGGGTGGTGGAAGGTGGCGCCGGGCGTGCAGGGAAGCGCAAGCGTATGTACGCAGGGGGAGCGGGTTTGCAAGGTTGATCCCGCGACGTTTCCTCCTTTCGCGCGGGTCGCGAGTTGCGCCGGATGCGGAAACGGCACACTTCGGGACATGCATGTAGAAATTGGGCTGGCGATTGCACCTATTTTTCTTTTCTCACCATTCCGCTCGTTCGGGGAGAATCCGCCGCGCTTACAGAACGCTCTGTCAGCGCGGCCGGCGCCAATCCCGATCTCGTTGGCCGCGCCACCACTCGACTGCTACAATCGTAGTATGATAAACGCCTGAAGACCCCTACAGTTGTCAAGAGAATCTCCACCAAGCGATCCAACACCAAAATTCAATTTTTTTTGTTTAGTCTCGCATTTCCCGGCTCCTGCACCACTCGGCGGATACTGCGCCCCTATACTGTACGCTGCTGCCAGATCTGCAACGTGTACATCGAGTACGGGCGGTGTAAGGCCCGAATGACTGCCCCGGCACCATCGCCAGCTTGCTCCGCTCGCCCCGGACCTCGCGCCCCCTGCCTGGATCGCCACACACACACCCCCCCCCCCCCAGCCCGCCAGACGGGCCAATCGCGAACGCCCTGCTGCGCCCAACCAAACGCTCCCAGGCATGCGCAATCCAATCTGCCCATGGTCCCACCGACCGTCTCCAACGTAAAATTTAAGTCACCTTCGGCGTCCTCTCACCCCCGCCCTCTTTCTCCTCCAACCTCAACCCCCAACCCCCCTCCCCCGCCCCCATCCCACGATCCCCCCCCGCCGCAATGGGTCGCGCCACCCACATCCCGCGCCAGCTCACGCGCGCGTTCCGCGTATCCGCGGCCGCGCGCGCCACCCCCATGGCGCCGCTGGAGCCGCACAATCACCTAGAGCCGGTGTACGCGGCCATCGACGATCGCCTGACCACAGTGCGCAGCAAGTACGTAGCCCGCCCAATTCCGCCGTGTCCCTCCGTCCGCGTCTCCGCATGCCGCGTCTAACCGCCCCGCTCCGTCCCCCCCGCGCGCAGGCTCAACCGCCCGCTCTGCCTCGCAGAGAAGGTCCTGTACGGACACCTGGACGACCCCGAGCAGGTCCCCGTGCGCGGCGAGACCTTCCTCAAGCTCCGCCCCGAGCGCGTCGCGCTCCAGGATGCCACGGCACAGATGGCCGTCATTCAGTTCATGGCATCCGCCCGCCCGCAGGTCGCCGTCCCGTCCACCATCCATTGCGACCATCTCATCGCCGCCGAGGTGGGTGCAGTGGCCGATCTGGTGAAGGCGAAGGACCAGAACAAAGAGGTCTTCGACTTTCTCGCCTCCGCAGCCGCCAAGTACGGCCTGGGCTTCTGGAAGCCCGGGTCTGGTATCATTCATCAGATTGTTCTTGAGAATTACGCCTTTCCGGGTCTCTTGATGATCGGTACGGATTCGCACACTCCTAATGCTGGCGGCCTCGGTGCTTGCGCTGTGGGTGTCGGAGGCGCCGATGCTGTCGATGTAATGGTCGGCTTGCCGTGGGAGGTCAAGGCTCCCAATGTTATCGGCGTCAAGTTGACTGGCAGGCTGCAGGAGTGGGCCTCTCCGAAGGATGTTATTCTCAAGGTTGCTGGTATTCTCACTGTCAAGGGAGGCACAGGCGCGATAGTTGAGTACTTTGGTGATGGCGTGGATTCTCTCAGTTGCACTGGAATGGGCACCATTTGCAACATGGGCGCCGAGATCGGCGCGACTACATCTATGTTCCCATACAACGACCGCATGGGTGATTATCTAAAGTCCACCGGTCGTGAGGGTGTAGCCAGTCTTGCCGATTCCTTCTCAGAGCACTTGCGCGCTGACGAGAACGCCGTATACGACCAGCTCATTGAGATTAATCTCTCCGAGTTAGAGCCGCATGTCAACGGGCCATTCACCCCCGATCTTGCGCATCCGCTCTCCAAGTTCAAGGAGGAGGTTGTCAAGAACGGCTGGCCGACTGAGCTTTCTGCAGGTCTCATCGGGTCCTGCACTAACTCTTCGTACGAAGACATGTCTCGAGCTGCTTCCATTGTCGACCAGGCCCTGTCCCATGGGTTGAAGACAAAGTCTATTTTCAATATCACACCCGGATCAGAGCAAGTACGCGCAACAATTGCGCGTGACGGAATTTTGAATACCTTCACAGAGGCTGGCGGGACAGTGTTGGCAAACGCTTGTGGGCCCTGCATCGGTCAGTGGAACAGATCGGACGTTCCGAAGGGCACGCCCAATTCTATCATTACCTCGTTCAATCGCAACTTCTCGCAGCGTAATGACGGAAACCCCAAGACCCACGCGTTTGTTGCGTCGCCAGAAATTGTGACCGCCATGTCCATTGCTGGATCACTCGAGTTTAACCCGACAGTCGACACCCTCAAGGGCCCGGACGGCGTGGAATTCAAGTTGCATCCGCCTAGCGGTGATGAACTCCCCTCCAAAGGCTTCGATCCTGGGGAGGACACCTTCCAACCTCCGGTCGAGGATGGAAGCGGTGTGGATGTCTCCATCGCGGAAGACTCTCAGCGACTTGCGCTTCTCGAGCCTTTTACTGCATGGGATGGAAAGGACTATGAAAACCTGCCAATCCTCATCAAGGCCAGGGGAAAATGCACAACTGACCACATTTCAATGGCGGGGCCATGGCTCAAATATCGTGGCCATCTTGATAACATCTCTAACAATATGCTAATTGGAGCTGTGAATGACCACAATGGCGAGATCAACAGCGTCAGGCATGTCGTGACTGGAGACTATGCCGGTGTGCCAGACACAGCTCGTGCGTACAAGGCCGAAGGCTTGCAATGGGTCGTCATCGGAGACGAGAACTATGGGGAAGGGTCGAGCCGCGAGCACGCCGCTCTGGAACCCCGCCACCTCGGTGGTGTTGCTGTGATCGTCAAGTCGTTTGCGCGTATTCATGAGACCAACCTGAAGAAGCAAGGCATGCTTCCCCTCACTTTCGCCGATACTGCCGACTATGATAAGATCAGCCCAGAGGACCGGATATCGCTTGTAGACCTTGCCAACCTTACGCCCGGCAAGCCAGTAACTATGAAAGTTACAAAACAGGACGGAGTAGTTGTAGAAGTGACTCTGAACCACACATTCAACGACGAGCAATTGGAATGGTTCAAGGCGGGGTCGGCATTGAATAAGATTAAGAAAGATCTTGGGGCGTAATATTGGATTGGGCTTTACCACTTTTGTTTCCTTCCGCGAGGGAAGTAAAGATTCACACGTTTTTACACTTTGACATAGCATATTTGTGACTTCTTTTCCGGTCTCGTCGTTGGCAATACTGTATCTCGTCACGCGCTGCATTACCCAACATCGGAAGCCGAGTTGCATGTCCGCGAATCAAGTTTGTTCGCCCGTGCCATCGTATGTGTTTGCACTGCATCGAAACTACAATAGTAGCAACAAAGGCTCTCCTCCATTGCCATAGCACCGTGGATCCCTCGTAAGCCTATGACTTGAATGTACGAAGAGGCGCCTGTATTTCACATCACTGTACATATTTTCCACGCCGAGCAACTTCAGCATGCTAGTGTAGTACATTAAATAGGTTTCTAAAGTCGTACAACTTGGACAATTTGAGCAAAATAAGCAAGTAGCCTCTGAAACAGATGTGTTTGAGGCGCAGTATGAACGTGCTTGTCAATTCCTGTACAGTACTGTACACATGTAGAAAACAATTCTAGTGATAGAAACGTTATATGGTGTAGAACCCCCAGACTAGTCCGTCTTTTAGCATGTTTTGCGGGTGCTCTAGCCTCTCCATAGATGTTTGTTCCGCAACGCCGCAGTTGACGCGCTCGCTTTGCACATGGGTTGATGTTGTGTGTCATCTTGAGGACAGAAGAGGAGGGTCGCATCTTAAGAGTTAAAAAATCAGTCTTTCTATGTAAGGTATCTGAAGCGCAATGATTTAATGCTCGAAAGTAAACCCTGACACGGAGTGTTGACTTGTTCGGCGCATCCAGGAAGGGACTGTGAATGATTGCGCATGGGGTTGCACGGGCCTTGTTCAGCCTCCAATGTTAGCATTGACACCAGGGTGGTTGCCGTCCTTCGAAAGAGCGCGAATTGTCCAACAATTCGGCTGTGCAAGGCCAACCAAACTTTGCTGACTTGCTCTTTGCTGACTTGCTCTTTGCAGGATACCATATACTGTACGTAACTTTACTGTACTCTTGGCAAGATATCTACGATATTATTGCCTTGCTGTTGGTAATATCCAGAAATTCAGACCAGCCAATGGGAATAGAACAGCAGGGAGCTCTAGATCATAAAAACTTTGAACAGTCAATGGGGCGCCAAACAAATGCTACGGGTATGGATTGTCACACACGCGTGTGGCAAGTGAAGGCGTAGTTGAGGTGCATATTCTCATTTGTACTGTAGAGCGAAAAAGTATCCGGTTGTTAACGCAGTCAAATGCACTAGAGGATATCCTGCGCAGATGCGTTGTGGCGCCACGCAAGTAGCATGATAATCCTTGTGTCGCTCGCATGATTAGCAGCACCCTGTTACGTAAATATCCACTGACAATTGTTGTGCACTTACTGTACATGGGGCCATGCATAGTGACATGCATAGCGTTATGGATGGAGGCGGTCGAGCTCCGCCCTAAAAAGAATGGCGGTCAGATGAGATTGAAAGATGGAAGGGTGTACGATTAAAAAAATGGGGAAAACTTGGCAACGCCCTTGCCTCATGTTGCACAGAAGAATGGACCGAATCAAGACTATCTCCTGGGATAAATGAACTGTACGTTATGCTCGCAAATTGGAAGACACACTCTAAAGCATTGCAATAGCACACTTTTTGTACCCCGATTCTGTAGCAAGAGGGGAGACACACGAGACACGAGATACTTCGAGGTTTGCGTGTTAGGGTGGAAGGAGGTTCCAGTCGATACTGTTGTAGCTGCACTGTGCGCCATCGCCATAGACGCCAGCCTGGTCACTTCGCAAACTGGATGCTCAGACTGGTCCTGCGAGTGGGTCGACGATAATAAGTGGATGTTCATTTGTAGTTGCAGGCATAAACAGGTAAACCTATGTTGGCGGTAGCTGCGTCTCCGACAGATTTTCGCGCGCCTCTGGAACGTCGACACTACGGTACGTGTACCGTTTGTGTTCGAAATGGGGGGTGCTACTACGGTATGGTCTTTCCGAAGCTGTTGTCGAATCGAGGCTCAGACGCACAAGGGATAAGGGTAGCGAGGTGAGTCAACTCCTCAAAAACGGAATATGGATCACCGGAACCCGTTTCGAGTAAAACAACTGGATGCATCTCGACAAGGGGTGCATCTCGTTAGCAGCGCAATTGCAACGGGTGGCATCCATTGGCCCGGAGCATGTCGACTTGCATGGGTCCCCAAAAACGGAGGCTTTCCTGGCATCCAGAAAGCAATTGTCATTTTCTCACACGACGCACCCGAAAAGAAGAAAAAAATCCAGCCGCGTCTGTAAAGCGGCACGCCAGACTAACGACGGCCATTGAAGCACTGTCAGGCGCTCTCTGCGCAACAATGCAGCTGCGGTGTCCGCGGGTGTTGCGCTAGCGGGAGAAAATCTGCCGTTTGCAGAATGCGGCAGCCTCCACCTCGGACGATGCCATTGGCTGCGCAGCCCTCGTGACGCCCGAGGCATCTCCAGAACCTTCGCGCGGCGGCGGGCCGTTCGGGGCCGCACTCGCGCGCGTCAGCGCATGTAAACACATTGCCCACTTACAGGGCGTTTCGCCTGCAAGCACACGCCCCCGCACCGCCCGTTTGGGGCACATGCTGTGCTTCGCTGGTGCTCTCGTTTTCTGCACTTGGCCCGGTGCAGGCGACGCCTGGCGGGCCGCCTTGCCGTCTCTGAGGGCGGTTTTTTTTGTTTTATTTCTGGGGGTTGCGAGACGAACATCTTGGAACGGTACATAAGATAGCTGGCGACCCTCCACCCTTCATCATTTCTCTCCTCACACCTCCCCATCTCCTCACACGACAGCTTCGACTTCTTCGGATACACACTCTACCCCACTTCGTTCGTATTCACGACACCTCTACGCCTCTTACGACATCATGCAGATTTTCGTCAAGACCCTCACCGGGAAGACCATCACTCTCGAGGTCGAGTCCTCGGACACCATCGAGAATGTGAAGACGAAGATTCAGGACAAGGAAGGCATCCCCCCTGACCAGCAGAGGCTCATCTTCGCCGGTAAGCAGCTTGAAGACGGACGCACCCTCTCCGACTACAACATCCAGAAGGAGTCTACTCTCCATCTCGTCCTTCGTCTTCGTGGAGGCATGCAGATTTTCGTCAAGACCCTCACCGGCAAGACCATCACCCTGGAGGTCGAGTCTTCGGACACCATTGAGAACGTGAAGACTAAGATTCAGGACAAGGAAGGAATCCCGCCTGACCAGCAGCGTTTGATCTTCGCTGGAAAGCAGCTCGAGGACGGCCGCACCCTTTCCGATTACAACATTCAGAAGGAATCCACTCTCCACTTGGTGCTGCGTCTTCGTGGTGGTATGCAGATTTTTGTCAAGACCTTGACTGGAAAGACTATCACCCTGGAGGTTGAGGCCTCGGACACTATTGAGAATGTGAAGACGAAGATTCAGGACAAGGAGGGCATCCCGCCTGACCAGCAGAGGCTTATCTTCGCTGGCAAGCAGCTCGAGGACGGTCGCACTCTCTCTGACTACAACATCCAAAAGGAGTCTACTCTTCATTTGGTTCTTCGTCTCCGTGGAGGAATGCAGATTTTTGTCAAGACGCTAACAGGCAAGACAATTACCCTTGAGGTCGAGTCTTCGGACACTATTGAGAACGTGAAGACTAAGATTCAGGATAAGGAGGGTATCCCACCTGACCAGCAGAGGCTTATCTTCGCCGGCAAGCAGCTCGAGGATGGACGTACGTTGAACGACTACAACATCCAGAAGGAATCTACCCTCCATCTGGTGCTTCGCCTTCGCGGCGGTATGCAGATCTTTGTCAAGACCCTCACGGGCAAGACCATCACCCTTGAGGTCGAGTCTTCGGACACCATCGAGAACGTTAAGACTAAGATTCAGGACAAGGAGGGTATCCCGCCTGACCAGCAGAGGCTTATCTTCGCCGGCAAGCAGCTCGAGGATGGGCGTACGTTGAACGACTACAACATCCAGAAGGAATCTACCCTCCATCTGGTGCTTCGCCTTCGCGGTGGTATGCAGATCTTTGTCAAGACCCTCACGGGCAAGACCATCACCCTGGAGGTCGAGTCTTCGGACACCATCGAGAACGTGAAGACTAAGATTCAGGACAAGGAGGGTATCCCACCTGATCAGCAGAGGCTTATCTTCGCTGGTAAGCAGCTCGAGGATGGGCGTACGTTGAACGACTACAACATCCAGAAGGAATCTACTCTCCATCTGGTGCTTCGCCTTCGCGGTGGTATGCAGATCTTTGTCAAGACCCTCACGGGCAAGACCATCACCCTGGAGGTCGAGTCTTCGGACACCATCGAGAACGTTAAGACTAAGATTCAGGACAAGGAGGGTATCCCGCCTGATCAGCAGAGGCTTATCTTCGCCGGCAAGCAGCTCGAGGATGGGCGTACGTTGAACGACTACAACATCCAGAAGGAATCTACCCTCCATCTGGTGCTTCGTCTACGCGGTGGTATGTAAGAGTAGTAGGTGCTGGTTCGAACACAGTGAGGACTAGGTGGGCTGGTTAGATTTGCATTCGTGCTCATTTAGCCGAAGTCTCCGTGAAATAAACGCTCCTTTCTTAATATGAGCATGTGTTGCCCTAAAAATTGAATTGATTCCAGATAGCGTAAGTTCATCCGAGTTATAGGGTCACGTCATTGTTTGGCCCTCTCGCCAGATCGTTGATCACTTTCGAGAATGTGGCCGGAGGTTTGAACTACCTCTACTCTTCTAAGTTTGCGGCGAAACAACTGTATCTCTGCTGTTTGATAGTGTACACTACAGTTTATTGATGTTAGATATGAACTGTGAAGTATTGACTATGCTGAGCCGCGTGCATCCTAAAGCCAGAGAGCTTCCTGCAACCCAACATATCCTGCTTTGGCTGGCACAGATCCACCAAATGGGGACGGAACAACTCTAGTTTGTGATGAAGAAGCAGCATTCTGCTGGCCACTTCGCATTCTACTGGCACTTGCAGCTGCTTTTTCACTCTGAGCCGCGGTCCCGCCAGCCGCTGCAGCTGCTCGCGCTTCAATTATCTCCTGCTTAATCTTCAATGCTCGTGGGTACTTGATCTCGCTTTCCTTTGTCTTCAGCAAGTATTCCTCGATCCCGCCAGCCTTGCGAATGTTTCGCATTGCACGCGTCGTCATGCGGAACTTGAGCATCCTTCCGAGCGTCTCGCTAAACATCGACTTGACCTGCACGTTGGGCTTCCATGTTCGTCTCGTCTTGTTTTCGGCAAACGAGATCTTATTCCCAAACTGTATCATGCGGTTGGCGAATAAGCCCCTATATGAACGGTTGAAGCGCGGCATTGTCTAAGCCTTTGCGATCAACGAACTGAGGACAGGGGCCTTGTCGATAAAACTGGGCTTGTTAGGGTTAGTGCGTGTGGCTTCGTGATGGGTGATATTTCCAAGAAGTATTGAACGCTTCCCTTGGAAGGGGGTGAAGTGGCTTGAATGTTGTTCAGATATTCTTGAGATCAACACAAAGAGATGTTGTTGGGATTTCACGCAGAGGAGCTGTCCTGCTCCCGGAATTGTTCGAGCACACACGGAGAATCACAAAGTGTTCATAACAATTTTTTTTTGAAATTTGTTGCATACAACCATCGGATAAGGGCATCGGGAGCTGGCCATCACTTCCTGCTCCACGTGCCCGAGTTGTCCCTTCGTAGAAAAACTAGTCCCAAAGTTTGCGGAGTGCCCTCGCGTCTGCCCATTTGCTGCCGCTGAAAACGTCCCCCAGTACCCACGCTGCCATCCTCTTCAGCAAACGGCAGTGTCCTTTGCAGACAGCCCTCGATCTCTCGACGATGTCGAAGTCCTGCAAGGGTCTGTTCGATGAGCTGGTCCGTTGTTTGAGCGATTCGAGATGCGTCATCGAGCATCCCGACAAGAAAAAAGCTCTCAAGGATTGCGTGCAGCCTGATGCTGAAGGTGTGGAGGATTCTTGCAAAGCAATTCGGGTGGCGTACTCACAATGCAGAAAAGCTCAGCTTGATATGAGGCGTCGCATACGCGGCGCCCCTGGGTACTAACGTCATTGTCAATCAATACATTCGGTTATGGGGGCTAGCAAGAGCAAAAGCGAAGGTGGCAAATCTGAAGCCTTCGAAAGCAACTTTGATGCAAGTTTTAGTAGAAACTGAGACTACTGGAGCACGGAAGCACCGGCCACAAGATAATACGATAATAAGAACCACTGCCAGTCTGCGCTCAGGTGTGGCATAGGCGCTTTCCTCATGCAGAGATCACGTAACGCGACAAAATGCAGAACATGTCTCTCTGGCCAGAAGTAAACCATTCCGTTCTATACAGAAAAAAAGGCTTGTGGCAATTCCTTCCATAAGAAGTCACAGTCTCTCTTAAACATGGCCATGCGCAAGGCAGAAGCATTCTCAGGGGAACGGAATGCGCTCGTGTTTTCTCGGCATCACCAGAAGCAGGAAGCACATTGGCTCACGATTTTTATTTCTTATCCTAATTCGAACTAGCGTTTCGCCCGTCGGCCATACCGTAAGTGAGCAATGTGATCATAAAAAAGGCAACCAGAACGCCAATCGCACCATAGACAGACACCAGTAGAAGCGGCAGAAACTGCAATCGCTCGCCGAATAGAGCTCTATGCACCCCGCCAAACCCTGCATAAAGTTCCAACAGTATAGTTCCGGCTGCGTAGAGCGAAAGCATCGAATGCCTCAACGACCATTTATCAGTCATCAAAGTCTGCATAGCAGAAACGTGGTAGGCAATGAAGTGCGCGATCTTAAACATACTCTCGCCTTTTTCCTGTACAAGGGGAAAGAGCGCAAACTGGCCGCCTAGTGAAAGCCATAGAAATGCTTCCTTCACTGCGGTGTTGTCAGTGATACCTGCCAACGCTGCTAGCGGAAGAAGCGGGACGAGGACAGCTTTCTCATGAACGTGCCATCCAATAGAGAAAGCGGCGAGCGTTGCGTGGGCGGTCGCCAGAAGAAGCTGATCTGGCCTTCTTGATAAGTGGAGAAGCGCGGGAATTAACGAAGCAAGCAACGCTGTCGCACAAATCATAGGTGTTGGGTTCCACAACACGGCAAACGGCGTCCGACCGCCGATGTGCCCTGTGGTCGGGTCTACGTCCACTGTGCGCAGCGAAAGCCCAAACGAGACCAGCAGCTTGTCGGCTGTGGCGTAGAGGGCCCAGAAGTTTGGCGCCCAATATGCATGTAACAAGCCGCGATCGAAGGGAAACAGGCGTGACATGACCTGTGCAAGTAGGTCTGTTCCGCCTGCAAAGTAAAGCGGTGCCCACAGCGCAGTCAGAGTTAAAATCGTTGCCAGGGCAATCGTGAACAGGCGAATGACGCAGTCGGATGCTTTTGGAGACGTCTTGTGAATAGCGGCGAGAATGTATATGGCGACTACTGGGGCGGTAGGGAGCAAAGTGTGTTTGATATTAAGTGCTGCAACGAAAGCTATTGCACCGCTAGATAGTCTGCCCGAATAGAAGAAAGCAAGAGACAGCATTAAGACGGCAATAGGGAGGCTATTGTACTGAAAATGAATGTTATCGACCAGCGTTAGGCCTGGCGCAAGAAGAACGAGTCCGACGGCCTTTGCGAGTCCTCCTTTGTGGCGTGCCTTTTCAGTTGCTACGGAAGAGACCAGAAGTTTTGTTGAGATAAATAAGAGCACTTCTGGTACGAGCACCGATGAGCGCATAAAAGACACGACAGGCTTGGTTGCGTAGTTGTGATTGTCAAGATCGACTAAAGGAGGATGGAAAAAGGCAGCGATGCAGGACTGAACGTATTCGAAATACGCGAAAAGCGGGGGATAATCGAGAGTCCATTTTGAAGAGGTGTCGACATACCACTGCGAAAGGGGAAGGGTGTGGGTGAGGGCCTTCCAATGGCGGTGGACCTCGAAATCAGTGCTGAAGTGGGCAGGAAACAGAAGAAGTTTGAGGGAGAGAGAGAAAAGAAGGAGGGCGATGGGAAGGGACGAGGATTCGGGACTCGGGATAGACACTACTGCGATAGGAGTCCGGGAGAGCGCATGCTTTGTGACGTCGCCAGGCGATGATGGCACAATCAATTCAGACATCGGGGCGTCTGGGTCGCACATGCGGGCGGAGACAATCCCTGACCGGCACAGCTCAGGCCTTCTAGCGCTTGCACGTTGGTCATTCCTTCTACGCACCGGGAAGGCGTTAAGGGATTGTCGCAAATCGATAACGAGTAGATCTCTTTGGGGGGATGAGACAATGTTGACTCAATGCAGCCGAACAACAAAGAAGAGGCCTTGTTTGGGAGTTGCGGTTCATGAGTTATGCCGTGAAAATGACTGAGACCGACACTTTCTGTAAATAATATGTATTTTCCGATATAAAAACGAGTAATACATTACAGTTTTTTTTTTGTGATGTACTGTACATTTAGTCCACTGCACGAGTGCATCAGCCATAAAAACTCAAACCCTCTCCCTGCGCCTCACACCGTCTCGATTTTCATTCCCTCTTCGTCCCAACGTTTCGTTTCATATTGCCCTTCGGCGCTCAACTTCGACCACACCGAACAGAACCTTGCGCAGGACACCTCTACCGAACAGCGTGGTTCTGGCTAGCGCTTGGCATGATGATGAAGCTTCACCTGCTCGTGACAGGCCTTTGCTTCACAATCGTTGCAATGTCCTCTGTCGTCGCAGAGGTTCCGACACACCCTCCTGATCGACATGTGCGCTCTTCCACTCTTCCCCCTCAAGCTGTTTCTTCCCTTCACGCCTATGGATTCACGCTTCTCGAACCCGTCACCCCTTTCTCCCCTGAACCAGAAGTTGCGGAAGAACTGGATGAGTATGATAAGGAAAAAGAGGAAACACTTCTGAATGGAATTGTCTCCTCTGCCGAGAGTCTCATCGCGCATCACAGCGACTACAACAGCGCGGTCCGTCGCTTCCGTCTCGCTTCAATTCTCGGTCATTCTGGTGCCGCCGCAACAATAGGTGCATTACTCATGGCAGGGGATACCCATTTGAAGCGCGATGTCGCCGCGGGTGTCGCTTCACTGCGCCGTGCAGCACAAGTTGGGCAACCAGATGCTCTGGCAATGCTCGGCTTTTTGCACGCCTCAGGCCTTGCTGAGAGACACGGCGTGCGCAAAGGCTTGGATCAGGCACTGCTGTATTGGACCATTGCGGCTGAGACTGGAAACGTATATGCCAACTCTGCGCTGGGGTTCAGGTATATGCACGCCATTGGGCTGAGAAGAGATTACGAAACGGCGGCTCGTTACTACAAGCAGGCTGCTCGCGCGATTGCGTTTGATGGAAGGTATTGGCCGACGCCGCAAAACTTCCAGTACGGTGAGATTCCGTTGGCATCATCATTGATGAGCGTGGGGAGAACGAGGTTCAAGGAGGGGATGTTTAAGGAAGGGCCTCCTGAGCCGACTGGGGACGACCACGAGGTCTATCACTATCACAGACATCTCGCCGAAACTGGAGATACGAATTCTATGACGCTACTTGGCAGCTTGCTTTTAACCGGCGGTCTCGGAATGAGGGCAGATCATCAGCAAGCGAGGGAGCGTTTGCGCCAAGCTGCTGCTGCTGGTCATGGGGAGGCTCATGGGCTGATGGGGCACCTTGCGCTACGTGAAGGTAATTATACTGCGGCCATGACGCATTTCCGGCACTCTGCAGCACGCGAAGACCGTAATGGGCACTATGCACTTGGGATGATTTTTCTGCATGGGTTGGGTGGAATGAAGAAGGACTTATCCAAGGCAGCCATGCATTTTGAGTTGGCGGCGGAGCGCGATCACGCGAAGGCTTCATTTGAGCTAGGGTTGATGTTTGACCATGGGCAGGGACGGGACAAGAACGCAGAAAAGGCGATGAAGCACTTTCAGGCGTCAGCCAAGCTCGGGAACATACAGAGCAAGTTTTATTTGGGTGTGCTTTTGTTTGATAGACGGGCAGCCCCTGGAAGTGAAGGGAACGGCAGAGAGGCATTGAGACTTTTCAAAGAAGTTGCAGAGGCGGGCGAGTGGAATACTCTGTTCGATCTGGCTCACAGTGCGTTTGATCGGAAGGATATGTTTGGGTCCCTCTACAGACACTCGCAAGCTGCCCATGCAGGTATTGAACTTGGTCAGCACAATGCAGCAATGATCTTGGAGATGTCGAAGGAGGGAGATATGGCAGAACTATCGCATTGGAGCAGGGAACGGATGATCGCGGAGATGCGGGAGCTGTACGAGATGAGCGGATTGCAAGGGCATACGCATTCGCACATCCGGGCAGGGGATGTGTCATACCTTGAGAACAACGATTTCTGGGGCGCGTTCAGGTCGTACAATAACTCGGCGAACATGGGCAATGCCGAGGGAATGTTCTCGGTTGGTATGATGCATGCAAGGGGGGAAGGTGTGCAAATGGATCGTGAAAAGGCGATGGATGCACTATTTATGGTGACGAAAAAAGACTCCGGCTCTGTTGTTGCTGGAAATGTGGCAATCGTGGGTTTGAGATTGCAATGGTGGCTGGGTGATTTATGGGAATGGTGGACGAAGGTATGGGATAAGACAGCTCCCCGACAAAATGAAGAAACGAGTATTTCAGGGGACGAGAGTGGCACTTCAGAAGACGGGAGCGGAAAGTTATCAGCTTCTCGAGCCGTGAAAGACAGGACGACAGTTGGTGACGACCTGGCGCTGGTGGGCGGGTTGCTAGCAATCCTTGTGACAGTGTTGCTAGTACGAAGTAAGAGATTAGCGCGGCAAAACGGGGATAGCGGTCGGGTGGGGATGGTGAGCCATGTGGTGATGGGGGTGCATTGACTGAGAATTGTATGACTATTAATCTGTAGCAAAGGCACGGCTTTGAAACAGGGTGTTAACTGCCCATGACACGCGACGAAGAGAACAGAACAGGCAACCATGACATAATGATGTTGCCTACTCCACGTTCTCGTTGCTGGAGCCCCTCACGACCATGCTACTGTATAGTGCTACTGTACACGCCTTCACAATCTCCACGATCTCCTAGCTTATTGGAACATGGCTGACAACGCAGCACCCACCCTCGCTGCCTGCCTCCATGCAAAATGCAAGGCTCTAGTGTCTATCTAGGGCTGTCGAGACAAAGCGCATGGCATACTGTATCATGGAATCGTTCCAACGATTGGATGCAGGACATGGGAAAGTCGGGCCTGCTGCCCATTCAAGAATTCGTGCGCGCCACTTTGTACTGTACGCAGATACGCTCGGCCGACAGTAACCGCGGTGTCCGATCCATTACAGAAATGTACAGTATTGCGGTGTGGCCCAGTGAGGTACTACGATAGGGGGTTGAGGTACTAATGAACTGTGTGGCAGGCAGATGAGGAGGGGTCTTAGCTCTGTTGTAAATAAAGATGTAAGGTATATGATAAGGTACACATTAAGTTAAACAAACGGCATACACCGATGCTGTAAGTAAAGAGACGTTAAATTAAAACAAAGGACAAATTACAGTTACAACGCTGCTTACAGTAAATGTTTACTCGGTAAAATTCCTGAGTAAACATTTACTCGCAAGCAGATTAACATTTACTCGGTGTCGAGTTGATGGTTGCGAGTAAATGTTTACTCGGTGACATTTCCGGGTAAACATTTACTCGCAATCAGATTAACATTTACTCGGTGTCGAGTTGATGGTTGCGAGTAAATGTTTACTCGGTGACATTTCCGGGTAAACATTTACTCGCAATCAGATTAACATTTACTCGGTGTCGAGTTGATGGTTGCGAGTAAATGTTTACTCGGTGACATTTCCGGGTAAACATTTACTCGCAAGTAGATTAACATTTACTCGGTGTCGAGTTGATGGTTGCGAGTAAATGTTTACTCGGTAACATTTCCGGGTAAACATTTACTCGCAATCAGATTAACATTTACTCGGTGTCGAGTTGATGGTTGCGAGTAAATGTTTACTCGGTGACATTTCCGGGTAAACATTTACTCGCAATCAGATTAACATTTACTCGGTGTCGAGTTGATGGTTGCGAGTAAATGTTTACTCGGTGACATTCCCGGGTAAACATTTACCCGCAACCAGGTTAACATTTACCCGGTGTCGAGTTGATGGTTGCGAGTAAATGTTCACTCCTTAACATTCCCGGGTAAACATTTACCGGCAACCAGGTTAACCTTTACTGTATGGCCTTTAATGGCTTACGAGACATGTCATACAGTCATTATAAACTGAGTGACATGTGATTGTTTATTCGACGATATGATATCGAGTATAGGTTTACTGTTCCTCGCTTTGCTTGACAGTTAACGTTTACTTACGGATAAAAGCGCGCGAAACCGGAACAATCCTCTCGTATTGCTGCGAACAGTTCGATTTTTAGGTTCCATATAAAAAGGGACCCGAAGTTTTTTATATCGAGCGCCCACCATCATTCTCACGGACGTCACTCTTTTGTTTTCTTGCGCGTTGGTTTTTTCGAAATCGTCACTCTTTTGTTTTCTTGCGCTTTGGTTTCTTTCACACTTGACCGCTTGCTGTTGTCAAGAACGGGTGTGGTATGTGTCGCTCTGTGTTTCGTTTTCTAGACAGACAAATCGGGGATCTGACATTTCAACTGATTTTTTAGCCTCCGAGTTGTGTCTGACCGACATGTGCAGACAGAAAAAATAGCGCGATCTGCGTCCGTCGAGGCCGAGAGGACAGAGTCGACCCCTCACGGGGTCGATCGCCAGGTGAGAAATCTGACCTTGGCGGGGCTATAGCCACAGCGGGTGAGCCCGCTGGGGCCTTCGATACGCTTCAAGAAAGGGAGCCCTCGGCAGAAAAAGAAAGCCTCGAGGCGTGGAGCCAACTCAGTGTCCCCACTTCCATAACCCCTTTTTCGCTACACGTCCAGTCTCAGTTCTAAAGCCCGCAAGTTGCTACAGGGCGCAGTATGAGTCTGTCGAGGCTGTGGGGCTATCCCGCTGTCAAGCACCAAACGAAGGATGACAGGCCCTCTCCGAGTTTCGCTTCCCAAGTGAAACGAAACGCCCCCGCCCTTGCATGTAAAGGCCTCCATGCTGTCGTTTCTATTAAGTGGAAGTAAGCAATGATATCTTAAACGAAAAAATAGCGTGAACTTTATTTGGAATGCAAGATCATATATCCCCTTTCCTACGCTTTTGAATGCATGGACTATGCGCTGCGACGCGTTTGGGGAAAGCAGTTCCAAAGATTTCGAACCTACGCTCATGAATGCGGAATCCTATTTCTAGCATGCCGCATAGTAGTAAAATGGTTCTGCTCGCTGTGCGAAAACCATGTGCAAATCGAGCTGTCGGTATGGCATGCTCATATTGACGTTAGCGCCCCGAACAATTGGCTGCCAAACACACAAGTTGATACTGTCCTTGCATCACGTGCAGGGCCTTTCTGGGGGCGCAGCAGGATCTGAAATGTTCACATGTAGCGTGTGTTTATGTTGCGTTTGGCAACCTGAAAAGGGGGGTGCAAATCTCATAATGAGTTTCGAGTACCAAAAAAAGGGGCTCGAAACTCATTTTGAGTTTCGAGTACCAAAAAAAAGGGGCTTGAAACTCATAATTAGTTTCGAGTACCAAAAAAAAGGGACTCGAAACTCATGAGTTTCGAACCCCCGAAAAAAGGGACTCAAAACTCAAAATGAGAATGGCCTCGAATCATGCGCAGGGGCGCTTCAGGGGCGGGGCAGGTACTGTACTGTTCACATGCACAGTATTCTCATTTTGAGTTTCGAGTACCAAAAAAGGGGTTCGAAACTCATTTTGAGTTTCGAGTACCAAAAAAGGGACTCGAAACTCAAAATGAGTTTCGAACCTGCAGAAAAAGGGATTCGAAATTGAGGTTGAGGTTTAGACCTACAGTAATTGGTACAGTATGAGTATCTGTACCAGCATCTCTTTGTCCGTTTTCTATTTTAGTCTCACTTGTAGTTTTTTTGAACTCTTTCTACTTCGTCAAACCTATGAGAAGCTTATCTGCCGTGCTGTAGTCAGTTGCGCCCTTTCAAAAAGAGTTGAAATTTTCTTTGCCAATGACGGGTGATGGATTTCTCGACAAACGTCGAACCATGCAATGGACGTTGAGAGTGATTCATCGTTCTGGCAGTGATGTACGGGTACCCGGACCGTACAGCGTACGATAAAAAGAGTTCTATCCGTTCCGGTTCTATCCAAAGTGATCAGCACAATGATCGGGCCACCCACAAGGGCAACCCACTAAAATGGGGGTCCGCTAAAACGGGACTAAAATCATGATGTACTGTATCTATAAAAAATACGTAACAAGGATATTAAATGTCATGGATGCAGCACTTCGCGAGAGAAGCGGCCCTGGGCTTCGTATGAGACACCGGTTACGCACCCACGTACCTACGGTACCTCGCTTACTCGTGCTGGATCTTCCAGCCTTGAACTTCTTTTGCATTTCTGACTGAATGGATAGAGAATCAAAAGCCTGCAGGATTCTGGGAAAACAAAAACGTCGCTTCGCTTTATAGGAGGTCTCACGCGTCTAGAGATGAACGCCGTTCATAGGCATGTAGAAAAATTGGGACCCAAGAAAACCCCAGAAAAATCAGATAGAAAAGGGTTCAGGGGATAAGGTCTGCTTGTCTTGCAGTCCACAGCTGTGTGGCTCTTTAGAAAGAATGCAAGTCGTACATATCGACATTTTTACTTACCCGACATGAAAATTATGAACCTTGTTGTCTAAGTTCCCCGATACAGCGATATATCCTTTGAGTGCGAAGGCGTTTTTGAGCCATTTTCATTGACGGAATATGCTGTTCAGAGTATGAGCTCATTACCAACCTGCGGAAACCGACGGCGGTCTATCGTACCAGCTGAAGATACGGAGAGCAATGTGAGAGAGAGAGTGATGTGGCCTCGTGTATGTGAATTCTTTCATGAATCTACCGATGATTTCCTTCGTGGTATTGGATTTTCATGTCATCCCGAAGACTTAAAGGAAAATGACGCATTTGAAGAACTATGTTCTAGGTCGATCCACTATTTGCGTGATGTCGTAGCCACCACAGTTTCGAAAACACTGGACAGCAAGACGTACAAGAAAAGCTATATGCCTGCCGCACGTTCGCAACATAAGCGTAGAATAACTGCCCGCATCGTGAACCTTGCATGGTCAATATCGGTGGGTAGTGACGAACCTTATTCTAACTGCAGCGATGATGGGGTTAAGTACGCATGCCAGCACCTCGTCGCCGAACTTTCCCTGTTCAAAGCAGTGGCTGGGAGCCTGCCTCGGTGGTTGCGCTTGTCGTCTCCTTTTACTTTTCTCTTCATTCGTCTCTGTGCGATAGACTGCCACGTTATTTGGCAGAATGTTATCAATCATGAGGGGTTTGGAATTCAAAATACTCCCGACATGGTTGATTCGTTTCGTGAAGACAAGTTCAACATCTGCGATGTGGTTGAAAAGGTCAAGAATCGAGTTCAAACACAACTTCTGTCCATTCGTCTCGGATTCGTTCACAACGGCGACATTTCCATCGATTTATATGATCCCGCCGCTGTTGACGCTGGCCAGCTTGCAGATAGTGAGGTTTATAGTGATGACATAAGCGAAGAATTAGACCGTGTCGCTGGACTTGTTGTCGCGCTGAATGAGGTTGTGCCGCTCATTTGTGTTGTAGATCAACAATTTTCTGAAACGCTTAGTGCCCTTTGGAGATCAGAAGGGGGTAGTTCCACCAATTGGAAATGGAGAAAGCCAGAGAAGAAAGACCTTGGACCTGCTGTTTTTTATGAAAACGGAAATCCCATGGACATTTTTCGTCACATGA